GTTTATATCTCCGCTACCTGGCATTTCATTTTATGACACACGTGGCCCCGGCCGAACAAGGTCTCATTCATGTCCAATCCAGCCCTCATAACAAATGAGTTCGACACCCCTGGTCTACACAGACCGGCAGAAGCTCTTCAGAGTCTCAGGCTGAGGTGTTTCCGTCACCTCCTTGCCAGACCCCTCTCACCGTTGATGCTGTGGATTTGGTGTAGTGGTTAAAAGCCAGTTTGGTGTAGGAGCGCGGACTCTGATCTGGGGGAACCGGGTTTGATCCCCCACTCCTCCACACGGAGCTGCCGGTGTGACCTTGGGTCAGTCACAAGTTCTCTCAGAGCTGTTCTCTCAATGGCAGTCCTCAAAAGAGCTCTCTCAGCCCCACCTACCTCACGGAGTGTCTGTTGTGGGGAGGGGAAGTGGAAGGGATCGTAAGCCGCTCTGAGACCCCTTCGGGTAGTGAAGGGCGGGGTATAAATCCAATCCCCTCTTCTCTTTTCTAATCTGGGAGAACCGGTTTTGGTTCCCCCACTCCTCCACATGCAGCTGCCGGTGTGACCTTGGGTCAGTCACAAGTTCTCTCAGAGCTGTTCTCTCCGGGGCAGACCTCGAAAGAGCTCTCTCTCGGCCCCACCCACCTCACAGGGCGTCTGTTGTGGGGAGGGGAAGGGAAAGGCGATTGTCAGCCGGGGTATAATTCAAATCTCTTCTTTTTTCTTCTTGAAGCTGGCACCTTCCGCCTGCCCCTGAGCCTCAGCCCCTCCCCTATCTTCTGACATCACCCCCATCCGATGATGCCATAAATAATGCTGTGATCTCATGATCCTTGATTTCAAAAGCCTGGAGACTTTGGCAAAGCTGGCGGATAAGGGGACAGCGTTGATGAAGGAGCTTTTAACGAGCGTCGAAGTCCTGAGAACCTTAACGGGGTTGGAAGATCACTCGGAGGTAAGCCGGTCCATAGGGGCTCGGTAGCCGGGGGCTATAGCCCGGTTTATATCTTACACGGGACACAGTGTTCCCTCTAAGCTGAGTCAGTGTGAGCTAGCTCACAGTTTTTTAGCCTCCAGCTCATTTGTGTCTCAGCGCAGGAAGGAGGGCTCCAGAGCAAACTGATTTATGCAGTAGCCAAATCGCTGGCTCACAACTTTAAAGCCAGTAGCTCAGAAAGTAGAATTTTTGCTCACAAGACTCCACGCATTACAGGGAACATTGACTGGACACACACGTAATGTGCATGTGGGGTTTGGAATCTGGGTTGCCAACCTCCAGGTGGGGTCTGTGGACCTCCCGGAATTACAGCCGATCTCCGGACCACAGAGATCACTTCCCCATGGGGAAAATGGCTGCTTTGGAGGATGAACTCTATGGTGAGGGATGCTCGGTATGGCAAGGGATGCTCTGTCTTCTTGGTGCTCGGGGGAGGGGGGCAACAGTGGGAGGGCTTCTGGAGTCCTGGCCCCACTGCTGGACCTCCTGATGGCACCTGGTGTTTTTGGCCACCATGTGACACAAAGTGTTGGACTGGAGGGGCCACTGGCCTCATCCTACATTGGCTTCTCTTATGTTCGTTATATGGAACAGAGAAAGCTGAAAAAGATGAGGAACTCACAGCCTTTCTATTAAACTGGATGAAGAAAGTCTTCTCTCTTAGTGAAGAAAATCTGCCCACCTTAATAAGAGCATACAGAATAGGGGCGCAAATCTCCTCAGAACGGAAAGGCCCAAGAGACATCTTAGCTGAATTCAGTGACATTAAAACAAAATATAACATCCTCCAGTTAGCCAAGCACTCTTCAAATCTTAAATTTCTGGACAATGAAATAGCGATTTTCCCAGATGTATCCCCAGAGGCTTTATACATCAGAAGGTCATTAAAACAAATTACCAAGAGATTAAATGAAGCAAAAATCAAGTATAGATGGCTCCCAACTGGAACTCTACAAGTACGCAAAAACAATGTCACACATCATGCTTTTGACCTCGACACAGGGGAAGCCATGTTACTTGCATTAGATTTGCAACCCTCTGTAGAAATGGAAATTGACCCACAAAAACACAGAAAGAGAGCCAGGCAAATCACTCCACCAAAGTGGAGCAAAGTCCCTTTGCGGAAAAAACTCAATCGATAAGCACTTTGATAACTCAGATTATAAAGTTTACTTCATAAAGCATAAAAAGTCAAATGTCTGTTTTTAGTTGAATGTTTAATTGCAAATATCCTTTAATAAGGAAAGTTTAAACTTAGCCTTTCATGCGTTGCGGAGGGAGGGAGGGAAGTCCCGAAGATCACCCTTAGCTCACAACAAAATGATGCTTTGTTTGTTGGTTTTATGGGTATTGTGGTCAGTATTGATCCGAATTGGTAAGCCCTTAAGGCTTGGAGCGGAGTACAAGCTCTCTCCTATGGATCATGGGGAAAGGGAGGGAGGGAGGGGGGTTGGACTGGATGGGCCACTGGCCTGATCCAACATGGCTTCTCTTATGTTCTTATGTTCTGGCAAGTGAGGCTCTGTCTTTTTTGTGCGTGGGGGGGGGGGGAACAGTGGGAGGGCTTCTAGCGTCCTGGCCCCACTGCTGGACCTCCTGACGGCACCTGGTGTTTTTGGCCACCGTGTGACACAGAGTGTTGGACTGGAGGGGCCATTGGCCTGGTCCAACACTGGCTTCTCTGATGTTCATTATATACCAAGGAGGTCCCTCCCCTCCCCAAAATCCACCTTCCCCTGGCTCCACCCCCAACATTTCCAGGTATTTCCCAACCCAGAGTTGGGAACCCTATTCGGGGAGCATGCACCATGATGCTCTAACAGTTCACATGTTCAGCCTTACTTGTATGTGTACATGTATGAACGGACCCTCAGGGAGGACGTCTTTCTATTTTAAAGGACTTTTCTGCATCTGCATTTTCCAAGCTTGTGTGTTCCAGTTTCCTTTGGGGTCCCCCCGTTCTGCAGGTGTTTTCCACCCTCTAGTGGTTGATTTGATATTACATTCCTTTATGCCCAGCATCAAAACCTGCCGTTGAAGGCCTTTTCTGCGATTACAGCTTGCTCTGTAGAATCCGAAGAGCCAAGCCTTAAGTCTTGACCTCACATTCGCACGCATTCCCTCTGCCCTGGTTCCCCCCTCCCCCCTCCTCCAGTTTATTTGTGTATTCTGTATGCATTCTGCATCTACAAGCAAAACCCACTGTAGGAGCAATGTTGTCGGCTCTTGTGAGGCAGGCCCGAGAGTGTTAACGTTGTTCCTGCATTAAGATCCCTGGTCTCCTGGCTGTTCTCCTGCAAAGGTTGAGAACCTAGGTATTAGGCTAATTGCACAAGGCAGAAAACATCTGCTGTGTTCATCGTGAGAAGCTACCTTGTCAAAGGGACAAGAGATAAGGAGCTGTAAGGTTTTTGAGATCAACACATTCCATGCCATGAATGTATGCCTGTAAAATTCCCTGACGAAGGGAAGAATAAAGGAGGGGGAAAGAGGAATTATCTTAATGCGGGAACAACGTTAACACTCTCGGGCCTGACTCACAAGAGCCGACAACATTGCTCCTACAACCCACATTAGTTGTTGTAGATTTTTCGGGCTGTATGGCCGTGGTCTTGGCATTGCAGGACCTGACGTTTCGCCAGCAACTGTGACTGGCATCCTCAGAGATATAACACAGAAAGCTGGAGTACTCTCTGTGTCAAGGTGAGAAGAAAAATGGTAGGC